ATTTGCTTCAGTTGCTAGATAATATTGTTTTTTTCAAGAAGAGATGAGTAAGTAGAATGTCAAAAGAAACATGACAACATTTTCATTTCTAAGTACCCACATTAATCACACGGAACAAGCTAACTGTCAAGCAATTCGTGAAACACTCCTGACAAAGGAATTAGCCTTTTTTTAAGAGATTGCGACAAAAATCTTGTCCGGCATTTCTGTCTATGGAAGTAAGATAAATGGCACCTACATGATTACGGGAAGGTTTTTTATTGTGTAATATTTTATTATCAAACAATGGCACCTGATTATTTTTGTATGTTTATTTTTTAGATTTCCTAAGCCCTATAGTATTTTCGTGTTCAATTACTATAATTTTGAATATTATCAAGAATTTTCCGAACAATATAGTAAACACTAACGTTGAATAAAATAAAATGAAACATGATTAAAAAAATGAAATCAAAAGTATGTCATTAAATTTAAAGCATTTATTTAAAGTAAGTAAAAAATAAAAAAAATTATTACGTCTAAATAGAAAATAATAAAATTATCTTGTCATGTTAACATTGTTTCAAGATCATTTAACTTTATGCATCAACTTTCAAGGATCATAACAAAAACGATTTAACTTAAAATTAGTTTTAGAACAAACAATACGTTTGTTGTGTATAATTTAGTTATATTACAAATAAAATTATTGTATACCTCATTTAAAGTTGGCTGTATATTATAATGGAGTGAACAAAATTTAATTCTATTGCATGTTTTTTATCTTTTCCTTATAAAAACAAGTCACCCTTCACATCCTCGATCTTATTCACGTGTCAAAGCCTTCGTGAAGAAACATTTTCATGTAGTGACACGACGGAAGTTCATTTCAGGTACGAAAAGAGTGACTTCATAATTTCTTTAGCCCGTTCAAATATTATTCAGAGGTGACTCTCTTGAAAATTTACGGATATTGAAATATTTGTTATAAATTTACTGAAAAACTGACATTATTACATAAATGAAACTAATATTTTTCGGATTAGAATACGCGTATTTTATTAATGTTAAAAATGACATGCTACTTACGTTTTGATTATTTTTCAACAACCGTGATCAGGGGCAGACATTATGACTGTCAAAATCTAAAATAATGTTTTGTGACACAATGATTATTTCTTATAATCACGAATTCATTTAAACTAATTTATGCCTCCATGATTTATACAGGTCCTTTTAATTAAAGCGAGTCTAGCAACGGCATGCCTTCCCGTAGAAAATTATACCTATTCATTTAGAACATAAATCCCTTAACCGGCCTATCTAATTACTCTGCAGAATTTCAAAATATTCTTTTAAAAGAGCAGCTCTTCCTTTCATATATTATTAAATAGCCCAACCATTTGGCGTCCTGAGAAATCTTGAATTTTATTTCAGTAATTAGCAAATTATTCTCAAGTATATTTTAGAGAAATTCAAGTAATAAATCTTAAATTGTGCAAGTAGTCGCCCCTTAATATAAGTTTACTGTTAATTAAATGGTTTCAACTACAAGTTAGAGTGACGGTTCATTTTGTTACTTTGTTTTAAAAAAAAAGTTGATACTTTAAAAGTTCTTAAAGATTAAAAAATTACATTATTTCTTCATTTTAAATGTTAATATTATCATGTAAAAATTTTTTTCTCGAGGAACTCACAAAGGAATCGTCGCTTCCTGAATTTTAAGAACATATAATAGAATAAGTCTTAATCTCGTTCGGATAATCCTTTTACGTAAAATAACATCTTTTGTTGGTGTCTTAAGTTGAAGAAGAGTTAGGTCAAGTCAGGATTCTAGGCGATAAATCTAACACTATACCGTAAAACAGCACGAAGCACTATGAACATAAAAGTTACTTTTAATTTCAATTTATTTCAGTTTATTTAGTATAATATCATGGCAAACATTTCTAATTGTCTCTTACAGAATAAATAATTTGCGAAAACTACCCAAATTGCGCCGGTCTGTTTAACTAAAGTGATAAATAATTACATATGATGTTATCCTTCTCAAATTGTTGTATCTAAAACGTAAAATTTGATCCTTACATTTCTGAATTTAACTTGCGTATTTATAAATAATTAACAAACATAGCAATGTTACACGCCTTTAACCTTGCGAACAAAATTAATTGAAACACGAGTACAGTAGTTAACCTAATTTAAATAAGAAAAAGTAGACGAAAAATAAAATATAAAAGCGGACGAGAGCTTAATTCAGAGTACATTAAAATATTTGTTCAGTCAAACATCTTTTTCTAACAAAGAACTTTTTGTTTTTATTAATTACATTTACAGAACATGTAAATAAAAGTTAAATAAGAACAATCCGTTATTTTATATCCCTCTCGTAGATAAACAAGACAAAATCAAATTATCCCATACAAAACTCTTAAAATAGACAAAGTTTTATCACATTTAAAATGTGATTTGTAACTGGAAACGCAAGTAAAAACTTTCATAGATATATTTAAATAGATTAAATTTTTCATTAATTAGGGTTTATCTTAAAATTCTAATTCATTTCAATCTTTTGAACCGACCGTTTTTAAGTTAGTGTAAACACGTATTAAGCACCCAGGGCACTCGCAATTTGCATAGTAATCGACGTTAGCAAAATTTGTTAGTTACTGAGGTGAAATTTCAGAGTATACTAACTTACTTCGTGCTGGTAACTGTGGATAAGGAAATTGCTATAGATAGTTGAATCTTATTAACAAGTTTTATCTGATACACTTTTATTGTATAGTAAATAACGTATTAATAAAATACAAATAAATCAAAAGCACACCTCTATGTACTAAATAGACAAGCTGCTTCTGTAAATCTTGAAGTCAGTCTTTCGTCTACAATAGTAATCATAAATATTATTAGTTAGTTACTAGTAATCTTTATTCTTAGAATTACAATATACACATTTTAAAACTATATTTTACTTTATTTAATTAGAAACAAAAGGTTCACAATTAATATAAAGTCGTTTCTACCGGTTAGTTAATAACATTTCATTAATTAGGATAAGTAATCAAAAAAACCCAACATAAAATATATCATGCCTTTGTGATGTGTTGTATGGGCGTCCATCTTGTTTCTTGTAAGTATCTCATTAACTTTGGTTATGTTGCCACGATGAAACCTCAACACGCAATAAGATAAACAGAATGTGTTTTTTATACCCATTTTGTGTGTTTTTTTTTCATTCTATCACACTTTAATGAGGGCAAATTATATTTTTTTATCTGAAACTTACATTCAAATACAGTTATATGGTTTGTTCACAAATAGTTAAAAAGACTCACATGCTAATTATACTGTATAATCGAAAGTTATTTTTCTGTTTATTCTATGCAAGACTCTATAGAGTTTTCAATTTGCACACTCAATTATACTAAAGCAAGTTAAGGAGACGTAAGAGGGAGAAGACTGAGAACTTTAGAATAATTCCAGAAGTAACTATTAGTAAATATCATTTACAATATAGAACGAAGTTCTTTGTTTTACCAACATACATAATATCGTACCAACAATATCTCATGATATGAATTTTGAGAGCTGTGACAGTTCGCTCATAAAGTCTGTTATTATTTGACTATTATTCTTTCAAACCACCTCGACACCTTTCTGGTGTAAAAAGAAATATATATCAAATTGTGTTCTCCTATTAGCATTGTTAATAACGCTTTGATGTCTGATGAGAGGGAATAAAGTGTTGGGTCAAGATGAAGCTCGTTTCTAAAAAATGGTGTGGTATTACTTTAATATTAAACATTTTTAAGATGTAAAAAAGTATGGAGCCTGAATGAGAATGAATGAAACGTACAAGTCAGTTCCCCACTATTGAGTTAAGTTAATAACAATATAATTTATTGATATCTTTGATATTTTTTTACATTAGTTTGGAATTCAAATGATATTACTTTAAAATAAATCCATACTTAAATATGTTGTACATTATGTCTTGTACATTGTTCAAATATAAAGAAATGGCTCTGAGAAAGGCAAAATAATATATATAAAGCTTAATCTATAAATTTCGTATTATTTATCGAGTCATCCATCAAATTATTAATTTTTAAAGTCTTACAAAGTTTTAAACGTGACCCATTTCTGCGACACGATTTCATTTTCAATAACAAAACGCAAGTCAGCGGTACGGAATGAGTAAATTCTGCAGTATCACTGTCGTAAATCGAATAACAATGAAAAATATATATATATATGTATATTTAAAACAAGAAAATATTTAACTTTTATCATATTGTTATATTTGAATACATATTTGTTTTTAAATAATTCAACCTGCGATTTTATTCATAATCAAAAACTGTCAATCCCAAGCAAATTCAATTTGTTTTTGCTGCTAGAACTGATTTCCCATATGAATTGTACGTTTCGATATTTTATATTGAATAAATATAACAAAATAACTATTAAGGCATTGGTTTCGCTGTGATTTTGTTTATCACATATAAAACTTCGAATATTTGCAAATACGTGGGTTTATGTGGGTTTGCAAACACATTTTTTGGTTTCAAATTATTTACGAGAATTTATTTTACGGCCTCAACTACGTCCAATGTCAGAGTTAAAATATATTATTAATTGCTTTTGTTCTTTCAAAGCTTTAATATATCTGAAATTACCGAATATTTTTTTATAACCAAGGTATATTATTAATTACAGGATATATAAATTACAAAATTAAAATGTAATAATGAAAATTAGACTTCTTAGTTTTAAATTTAAACATGTGTATTCTGGTTGTTGTATCACATACGGATATCAAGACTGTTTCTATTCCTATGCTATTATTCCATCATATATCTTTGTAGCATTAGGAGAACACCTGGAGTAATTTCTACTGGCTACAGGTGGCTCATGGGCGGGATAATCCACTTAGTATTAGCACTAAACTCACTTTACCGTCGTATATGGACCTATAAGATAAAAACAGTATACATTTTTACTTATTTTTTAAACAGTATACTTGTCTTCACGAGAACCTGTTCCACTATCTTTGTGAAGAAAACGGAGGTGCTGTGACTTTACCCGCTGCGAGAGGTGATGATGCTTGGAAGATATACTTCAACGAAATACCCGAGGAAATTGTGGACGAGTTTGCTATGAGATATGGTATTGAGGCGATCTATCAAGCCATGACGTGAGTATTTCTTTCCTTTCCTCCTTTACTTTCCTGCTTTTTCCCTATTCCCACCCGTCCCATTTCCTCAACAATCAAGGTTGGCAACGCATCGACAACATCTATGGTACGGATATCTATGGGCGACGTTCACTACTGCCCATCAAGTAGGCCGTCTGTTCGGTTACCACCTTTGCCATAAAAAGAGTATAATTCTAAAAATATATCATTAATATTTTGTTTCTTATTGATTTTAATATAGGGCATACCACAATTTAAACTGAAATGATCATGCTATCTGATTAAAGTGTAAATCCGCGTAATAACTGTTATATTTTTTAAAGAAAACTGTTCTTCATTTGAGAAATAATAACAAAATGTTAACGTCTATATTGTTCAACGTTTCTTTTTGTTTTAGTCATTTCCACTGTCTCTCTACAAAGTACCTGTGTGCTGGAGTACCGGCCGTGATGTCAACACTTTTAGCTAATATCAACGCATACTACGCTCATACCACGGCTTCATCTGCGGTCTCCGCTTCAGATAGATTCGCCGCTTCTAACTTCGGGGTACGTTAACTCATACTAACATTGAAAACACGAAAAAGAAACGGTTTTCAAAAAGTAAATACGTATGTTCAGGTATATCGTGGGCTTAACTGTTGGATACAATTGAAATAGAAACACTATATTATATATAAAATATTTTTTATAATGAATTTTGCCAAAGTAGAATAAAAAGCCCTAAATCAATAACATTCAGGAATAACTAAGAGAATTTCAAAATAAACCTCATAAAAATCTGTTGGTCTGCTATGACAAACATAATTGTCAGTACTTATCAGTATTGTCCCCTAAATATAACTTATATTTAAATAAACTAGAGTAAAATAAAAATATTTTTTACAAGCCTAAATACGTACCAGCAATATACTAACTACAACTAATAATTACGTTGTACATGACTGCTCAAACAATTTAGTCAGCCCGAGAATTATTAACAGACATGTTATTAACATTACATACTTGAGGTTAGTTTTAATTAGTTAAATTTATAGTTTCATGTATCAAACACAGCCTTCTCAAATAATAAACGTTATGTTGGGGGTGACTAATAAGTTTTCGTAATTGCTCAGTGCTTAACGCTGTTATGGCTTAATTTGAATTCAAAAGATAAATTGTATTCAAAGCCATGATTACATAATAAATTGTAAACACTATTACTTTTGGCAAATAACATGTGGATTTTAATTTATTTAAACAATGAATATTATATAATTAATTAATGAAAGCCGTTATAATTGGTACATTAAATTTGCGTAATTTCTTATTAGTCATCCAATCTTAATCTTTAAAACTTAGTTTTGGTATATTATAATTTAAATTAAACTGTTTTTTTTTTGCAGAAAGAAAAGTTTGTCAAGCTCCTGGATCAGTTGCACAATTCCCTTCGCATCGATCTTTCTATGTATAGAAATAACTTTCCCGCTTCGAGCGCTGAGAAGCTTATGGATCTTAAGTCGACTGTGGATCTACTTACTAGCATCACGTTCTTTAGGATGAAGGTGAAAGGAAAATCCAATTTAACTTAAGTAGTATATAACAGTTTACACTTAAAGTGTAGTAAATCGTAGATTTATAGGTTCTTCATCAGTATAGGATATTTTAGAGCTTTCAACTCGAGAGTAAAACGAGTAAATCGTATTTTCATTCTATAGAGATTTAGAAGTTGGATATGGATATTATTATTCAATTTCCATAACTGAATTGAAACACGGAATAATAATTCTAAACAAATTTTACGTTTGAAATTCACTGAGGAGAATAAAATGCGCGAAGCAAATTTATTCAAAAGAATACCGTCCAAGTTTCCAAAGACTTAAGGACTGCAAGTTTGTATAAGGCTTTTTCACATTTCAAATTCAAAGAAAACGATCATAAGGATACAATTGTGAATTATTTATGATAAACAGACAAACGTTCTTAATGATCTTTATATATTATTATTAACAGGTACAAGAACTCAGCAGTCCACCTCGCGCCAGTACAGTCGTCAAGGATTGCGTGAAGGCTTGTCTTAGATCAACATATCAATTCCTATTTGAAAACTGTTATGAACTTTACAACAGAGAATTTCAGGTTAGTTTGGTTAATAACATTTATAATTATTTGTCTGAAGTTACTTTTGCGGTAGTTGCATATGAACCTATATAGTGTTTGTGACATATTCATATAGTAGGTAGATAAATAATGTTTGTGACAGTTGTCAGTCTACGTGGAACAGTAAAGTGTGTGCCACCAGTTCAATGTTTTATTTCATTATTACTCATAAATATAACAAGCTAATATATAAATATGATCCTGAATGAAAAGAAAAATACTAGAGTGTAAAATGAAATTGTGCACTAAACAGTGGTAGTGGCAAAATAGGTTAATCTGTAAAACGAACGGGGACGCGAAGTCTCGGAGCACAATATTCCATAACCAACTCTTTTTAAAACATATTGCGTCCACCTTATAAATATCATAATATTAAAAGAGGAATATGTAGAAAGTATGTCAATAGTAACTTCTAAAAAAGATTGATTTTATGGGACTTTTAAAGAAATTTAGCAATTACTTCAAAGGTGGATCCCAACGAAGCTAAACGAGATCCGTCCGATCATGGGCCTCAATTGGATTCAGTAGACTTCTGGCATAAGCTAATAGCACTTATCGTGTCAGTCATAGAGGAGGATAGAAACAGCTACGCTCCAGTGCTGAACCAATTCCCTCAAGAACTGAACATCGGACAGGTGAGACGAAATAAATGTACTAGTATTATATACGATTACTAGAAGACCCGGCGAACTTCTTATCGCCCTATAATAAAGAAATATCTGTTACGTTTTTTATTTATATTTTTTTGGAGTTTATGAGATAAAAAAAAAAAGAGTTTACCTATTAAAGGCATAAATCTCCGTGTTTTGAAGTGTGACAGAATGATTGACATATTAGTTAGTTGTCAAATCTAATGTAAAAAAAACGTTTGTATCAACAACTAATAATAAATTAAAATTAATTAAAAAAAACTTTGTCCAGCGGACAAAATTGTGAATCTAAACCATTCCCAGATCCCCTTGAACACACACAAAAAATTTCATCAAAATCGGTCCAGTCGTTTGAGAGAAGTTCAGTGACATACACACTCACAGAAGAATTATATATATAAAGATGTAGTTTTTATAGAATATAAAGCTGATACAATACAAAGTATTATAGACTTTCATGTACCAAAATTTTGTGCCTACAAATGTGTTATATTTTATATTATTGCTCATTGGTCTGGATATTTACAGTTGTCAGCAGCAACGATGTGGTCACTATTCGCTGTGGATATGAAATATGCACTTGAGGAACACGAACAGCATCGGCTCTGCAAGTCTTCCGCTTATATGAATTTACATTTCAAGGTTAGCTTAAACATTAACTACAAAATTGTTGACTTTTGAAATCAATATATAAATTTGTTACGAATATTTACGAAAAAAATCAAAACAACATTCTATTATGTGATTATTCTTTTGTAGTTATGAATGTAATTTTATTTATGTTTCAAAAATTTTACCGTATAAGAAAGTATGTGGAAAAAGCATGACGTAATTTTTCAATTTGCTTTTCAATAACCAGGTTAAGTGGCTTCATACTAACTATGTGAAAGACGTACCTCCATACTGTGGCGCAGTGCCGGAGTACCCAGCTTGGTTCGAACCCTTCGTTATGCAGTGGCTCAATGAAAACGATGATGTCTCTTTGGAGTATCTCAACGGTGCTTTCAATAGAGATAAACGGGACGGGGTACGAAAAAAAATCCTTAAATAATTGTTATCCAATAATTCTTACATTTTCTTACAATCATTAAATTATTTCAGTTCCAAAAATCAAGTGAACACGCCCTGTTCAGTAACTCAGTTGTCGATGTGTTCACTCAACTAACGCAATGCTTCGATGTGGTATCAAAACTTGAATGCCCAGATCCTGAGATCTTGAAGCGTTATATGAAAAGATTTGCAAAGACAATTGTCAAAGTTTTGGTTGCGTATGCTGATATCGTTAAAAAGGAATTCCCTGAGCATTTGAAAGAAGAAAGAGTGGTAAGTGTTTAATTTTTATTGATTTTTTTATTAAAATCAACAAAATAATTTACCTTTTTATTACTTTTCACAGGCTTGTATTCTTATGAACAACATTCAACAACTGAGAGTTCAATTAGAGAAAATGTTTGAAGCGATGGGCGGAACTAATCTGGAACGTGATGCAGCCGATATCCTCAATGACTTGCAAGCAAGCCTGAATAGCACTTTGGATGAGCTAGCTTCAATGTTTGCTAACAGGTGTGAAAACTTCAACTAAATACTTACTTACATACGTAGTCCTTGTCAATGAACCCTCAAAAGACGAATAGTATACGAGTAATTCATTCATTAATATGCCTTAAATCCATACAGTTTGGAAACCCGCATTACGGCAAGTGTTAAGGAACTGGGTGAGTTACTTCAGAAAGTTGGAGGAGGAACTACTGTACCCGGAGCCCCACCACCACCAGCTCACCACGAAGCAGACGAAGTTCTGCGACCACTTATGGATATATTGGTAACTAATATTTAACATACCAAAATATACAACAACTTAATCAACATAATGACGTTTAGATCGACGAGATTTTAATGTGGTGCGGTTTTCAATATATTATTCCTCAAACTGGTAGTATAAATTATGTTACTAAAATCCTTTATATCCCTTAAAATATATATTTGACGTTATATATAGTTATAGTCAGTGGTGACCTAGTGATTGAAGGGTCCGCCTCTCGTTGCCGAGGGCGCGGGGTCAAACCTAGTATGTACCAATGTGATTTTTCGGAGTCATATGTACTTTGAGTATATTTAGACATCACTGTTATGCGGTGAAGGAAAACATCGAGAGGAAACCTGGACTTATAATTTCACAATTATAAGTTTGAAATCACCAACCCGTCTTAAGCAAGCGTGGTGATTAATGGTCAAACCTTCTCCATGGGAGAAAGAGGCCTTTGCTCAGCAGTAGGCTCTGATAGGCTGATGACATTATATATAGTTAATTTACGATATACTAGCTAATTGACATAAGAAATTTAAAATAAAACCAAAATATGTTAAATATATTTATGACGATGTGTTTTCTTAGGATGGCTCACTTACAATGTATGCGGAATCGTGCGAGAAGACAGTGCTCAAGAGACTTCTAAAAGAGTTGTGGAAGATTGTTATGAAAATACTTGAAAAGACTGTTGTTCTCCCTCCAATGACTGATAAGACGGTAGTGGCACTTTTCTTTTCTTAATTCTATTCAACTAATTGGATTTCATATTTAAAATACAAGTTACTACGTGTAGTAAGTATTTCCTTTTTATGACTAAAAACTGTGACTTAATATATTGTTCAATACTTTCAGATGATGTTGAAGAATCTTACAAACAATGCGAAGAATTTAGCTGCGAATGCAAAGATTGAGGATATGACTCAACTATTCAAGAGCACGGTCGGTAAACAGGATGTCAAACATGCACTTTCAGGTGTCATGGATATTTCGAAGGAAGTGAGTCAATACGTGAACCTTAGATGAATGATTTACCACATCTTTTAACTAAAATAACTGCATATTTAATGAAATTAAAATAATGTTAAGCAACCGTCCCTATGTGACATAAGTTCCGAATTTGATTCGACTACTGACTGATTCGTTTATTATTTATTATTCTATCAGAATTTTCTTTTAATTTTATTCACATTTGTATAGCAGAAGTTCTTATTTAACTCTATTTTCTTTTTCATACAGCATCTATCAGCCGAAAAGAGTCTCACACCGAAGCAATGTGGAGTCTTAGATGCTGCTCTTGATACGATCAAGCTATACTTCCACGCGGGTGGGAACGGTTTGAAGAAAACTTTCTTGGAGAAAAGTCCTGAGTTGCAATCTCTGAGATACGCTCTTAGTCTATATACACAGACTACTGACACTTTGATCAGAACGTTTGTTACTAGCCAGCAAAATCAAGGTAAGAAAAAATTATTATTCAAGTGGTACACCAAATTATATGTAATTAAAAATTACCTCAGAGAAAATATGTATTGTATTTGTCGTACTTTTTTTTACGAACCCCAAAACTGTTATTTAATGACTTCATGAATTTCTTTAATTATTTTTTATTAACTATGTGAACCTAATGTTCAATTGAATTAACTTATTTGTACTAAGTCAAGTTCCTAACTTTCTTCTGTAAATTAGACGCGGCGGTCGCTGAAGAAGGCAGTGTTGGTGAGGTATCGCTCCAAGTAGACCTCTTCACACATCCAGGCACTGGTGAACACAAAATCACTGTCAAAGGTAAAACGAACTTTCCACGTTTATATACAGGGTGACTGGTAAATTACTATCAATATTTAAGGAGAATACTCTAATAGGTGTGTGTGTGTGTATACCTAATCTGTAGGGTGTTTACACGATGAGTAATTAATTACACAACTTTTGGTTAACTTTACTTAAAAGTTTATTAATATTTATGTTATATTAATTTTTATTTTGTCATATATGTATGATCGTCAAATATCACGTCCTCAAGTATCGATAGTAATTCACCAGTCACCCTGTATATTCTAAGTAGGTAATTCTAAAATTTAAATACATTGCACCAGGATGATACCTTTAAAATTCTCCCAATAGAGTACATTTAATAAATAATCATGTTTTGAGTGGAAAAGAAATATTCCCATTTATATAAAAATATGTATTCATTATTACCTAATATAGAACCAAAAGAAGACCATTCACTTACACAAATTCTATGGCTATTTAATGTCAATATATTATCTACATAGGAGTACATATATTTATACCTATGGTTTATCGGTTCATCTTCAGTGGTTGCTGCCAATGATCTCAAGTGGGTGATCGCTAGTGGTATGTTCCGTCCCTTCATCGAGGTGAACCTGATTGGACCTCATCTCGCAGACAAGAAGAGGAAATTCGCCACCAAATCTAAGAGCAACAACTGGAGTCCAAAGTTCAATGAGACTTTCCATTTGTAAGTGAACGTATTATATGATTTATATTGATTAATCATAACTATATAAAAATAATTAAACTGAAGTGATCATAATATCTTCTATCTAATTTTATTATGTTATTATGAGCAAACCGAAAACTTGTTATTATTTTACAATTTTTCAACGGTTTCTGTCAATTTTAAATACTCCAGATTAATGAGTCTTGGAATTAATCAATCGTATAGATAAATGAATATTAAAATAAAAAATGCAAAAAAAAAAGGAACACAAAATGTACGAAATTAGTATAGTTATTTTATTTTCATTTAAAGAAGGCCAGTCTCAATCAATTTTTATAATATCAACTATTTGCTAGTAAATTCTCAAAATCATTATTACCATTTCAAATTGCCCGAACAAACAAACAGACAAAACTTATGCAAAACATGTTTAGGTTTTCGTGCATACATATGCATGTTGCAAAAGGGGTACTTTATAATATAAAATAAATACTAATTTCATGTACATATGTGCATATAACGATTATGTTATGTACAATATAATGTTATGTTTCAAGCATGGTGAGTGCGACGGAGCAGTTGGAACTGTTTGAGCTTCACGTCTGCGTTAGAGATTACTGCTTCGCGCGAGAAGACCGGCTGGTCGGAGTCGCTGTCATGAGACTGGCGGATATAGCGGAACAGGTCTGAAGGAACTACCCATAAATGAACTAGTTATAATTAATTTACTGCATGAACATTGTTCTTTTAGTGGATGACAAATGACAAAATAAAATACATAAATCAAGCTACTTTTCTAATCTGTAAACTATAAAATCAAAATGAAAAAATTTGAAACTAGAATCTTAATCAATATTTTTTTAACCAAAATAAAGGTATGTTCAAAAAATAAGATCGTCTATATTATTATTTTTCAGGGATCATGTGCCTGCTGGCTGCCTCTTGGCACACGAGTCAAGATGGATGAAACTGGATGGACGATACTAAGGATCTTATCACAGAGACACAGTGATGAGGTCGCTAGGGAGTTCGTTAAGCTCAAATCAGAAATGAGAGCTGAAGCACCAACCGGTAGCCAAGGACCCTCGTGAAGAATCTGAAGATAACACAGAGAGACGCACCTTCATCCATTTACATTAGGATCTTCCAATTCTATTGACGAATGGAATATATCCATGGATGTTGTCTTGATAGTCCATCGTCATCAGCGCTACGGCTACCGGTCAGTGCTCGTTACCAATCTCATTTCGAGATGTCGTTTTGTAAATAAATTAACTGTCCTAAGTTTAGCGATATTAGAATAATTTGCACAAATTCGTTTCATCAGCCAAAAGACTGACCGTAGATTGCCGGGCGCTGTCGTCGATTTTAGGCATTCAGCAAAATAAAAATTTAAAAAAAACGCATTCTTTGTTATTCTATGGAAATACAACAGCACAAAATAAGTGACGGAATTTCTTTCTGATGTTTATTGTGGATGATTGTGTGTTGTATATATTGATGTTATGTGAACTCTTGACTCGTGGAGTTGTTCCATGGGAGTCCATTTTGCTGGATACCTAACGTGTGCAACGGAACGTCACACGATTTATGTATTAATAATATGGACCAAACTGTCGTTATGGACGCACTACCTAACCCTTAACCACTAATATTAAAACATTTATAAACATAATCATCTTTAATACTTGTACAGTAAGTAATACATGGCCTTATGTAAATTATTTCCTTTGTTACATGATATGCTTCTGGTGAATTTGTTGAAGTATCGTGATGAATGTTGATAAAATCTGTTCTAGTATTAGTCATGCCTTAATGTTTAGGGTTTTCTTAAATTGTATCGACTTAGTATGATTTACTTGTGGAAGTTTCCCATCTTTTATATGATCTTTATCCAGTTTTGATTCATCTTAAAGTGGGATCTATTGTATATAATCGTTAGTATCAAATGTAACACCACATCTGTTAATTTCAACGCTGAACATATTTAAACATATTATATGAATCCTGTCTTTGTGAACGTTATTGAAAATTGTGATATTGTTAATAATACATCATAACAGATATTTATGGACTTGCTTTTAAAGGGTTCGAGTAAACTGTTAATGTTGCTTCTAATTGGTTCTTTGTAAGGGCCCCTTTCACTTTCTATATTATAATAATGTTTGTGAAATCCTTTTTAATATACCTAATGTTAGACATTCAGTGCTCAAATATTTTTTGTTCAGTTTTAATTAGTATCGTGTTTGTAATGTAACTGTTTGCTTTTTCAAAATAAATAATATTATAATATCCCATCCAAATATAATGACTATACATGGTGTTTAATTGTTTATATTTTTAATATCACTTCAATACAATATTTCTTACGGTTCAAAAATATATTGCATCAATATTTGAATTTGAAAAATTTCAAATATTTATGATTGTTGCAGTTGTATTAAAACCTTAAACAAAATCTAAAAGACCAGATTATTTTGACCTCCCAAAGCAAAGTGATCTTTAAAAATATATACATATACATCATAACACGCAAACACGAGATTTAGATTTTATATATATTAATATTTATCATGGATAACATATCTGTAGATAGAATGTGGTTTGTCTAGTCCAAATCTCTATATATTTAAAATATATTTACTCGTCTTTAAACTACTGAATTGAAAAAAAAAACCCGAGTGATTTATGTGATTTTGAATCCGCTAAATCCGTTTCTAGAATTTATTGTTTTCTGTTTCAAAGCACACAATATATAAAAGATATTATATATAGTTTATTTAAATATAAAAAAATAATAACGTTTACGTGTGCTCTATATTAGATTAGGTGAATTGTTTTAGAAAAATGTACCTAATGATTGGTTAGATTTATGTCATTATAATATATCCTCTCTTATTCAATATTTATAATCAGATATTTATTTAAAGTGACTTAAATGTAATATATCATTGAGACAATACAAAACTTGATGATCACTTTAATTAAATATCAAATCGTAATAGATTTTTAAAAAAGTTTTGCATGATAAATCACTTTCGTAACATAACGTCCATCTTATATATCGCAGGGAACTATTTATTTACTAAATTCAACTACATATAAAGCGTTCAAGCTAGTATTTAAAGAAAAGCGCACAGCATTAATTCATCAATGATATATAATATAGTATTCACTACTTTACCATGACAATACTTGGTAAAATTATTCTTAAGTGAAATGTGATGGACACGATCATTACGCTCCAATTATAATATTAATATCACTAACATTGCATATATCTTTGTATAAATGCATATATGTAAATGTTACATGTTTAAACACATTATTGAATTTAGAATTTTTATGAAAAAAAATAAATAAATATCCGTATTTCAAATATAATTTCGTTTTGTTTTATTGTATCACATATATATTTTTCTCATTAATAAGTGTAAAACTTTTGTTGTTGTGAAGATGTGATTTTAGATATGATACGATGTGATATGAATTTATTTGACGTCAACATTCATTAAACGTAAGTAGAATTGCATCTGAATTTGATATACAAATCGGAATTCTTAAAAGCTGAATCACTTTTACCAAAAGTTCCTTCATACGTAAAACATCGTCACGGCCAAGCTATTTAAAAACGTCACCCATTCATAAAGATCGAGCACATTGCAGGAGTCGCCACCGCGAGGTACGCACGCATCTCTGTATTTAAATACTGTTTGTTGGGTAAAACTGTTTGTTAGTGTTGTGAGAAATGAGCGGAAACTTCCTTACCATACCCGGGGATGATCCCATACAGAGAAGATCACGGGTAAGGATTCTTTATAACAATTTCTTTTTACAATGTAAATAGTTTATTCTCGTAATCATTTTAAAAGTTTATAGAATTTGAATATGTTTATGATAATTGAAAGTTTTATTGGCAATGTTTAATGTTTCAAAATATTTAGATCACTTTATCATTCAGTATTTATGATGATAATTAAAAGTCAGTTGGTAAACGATATTTTATAGTATTTGTTCCCGAAACAAAGGACTGATAGGTTTTTGTTAAGAGTTACTATAATCTAAATGAAATTCTTTATTTATTTCCTACATTTTATCCATTTATAAATTTTTGTTGAACTAAAATTTGAAATTAATGAAAATATATAAAATTTAATTAATAAAACAAGGGGAAGAAGGAAGGAAATATATAAAATTTAAGAAAGGAAGGAATTATATAAAATTTAACATGGATGAAACAAAATTATTATAAATTGATTTCTACCACAATAGCTCTCTTTTAAAATTATATCAAAAAATATTTGTGAAGCTGATTAGACTAAAGGAAATACATAGTAGTTGCGTCCACGAATTGATGCGTAAAACAGTCTATAAACAAATATATGTATTATATAGTTATTATTTTTCTAATGAAGCCATTTTCATACGTTTAGCAAAAAATATCCAACAACATGGTCTAGATTATTTGCTACAATTACATAATAAATAAGTCACATTAAAAACATATGTATTTATAATTTTCACGAAATTTATTAAATTTAATTTGCCAAAGTTTATTCAGTTTAAAATATAATAACAGTACAAGGTTCATAAGAAAAACAGTAGCATAAATGTTTTAAAAACTAATGTTATTTCCTTTTTGCTTTCTTAGTATCAGAAAACTACGTTTCTACTACACGTGCCTCGTTGTTAATACCATTACATAAAGAATAGGAGCTAGTCGTTACGTGTTGCAACTTAAGACAATGTTGTTCATAAAAGGTTGTGTCATACCAACATTTTATATACATTACAACTATATAATTTCTATGAAGAGATAATTCTTTGGTTTTTATAAAAAACTGCTATTATAAAAAAATAATAATAACTTAAGTTTGATCTATATTTTGATAAGATAAAATGTCCTAAACATCGTTATAACTTTTTTACTTACACCAAATACTCTGAAAGGTTTTTTTATCATTAATTTAACGCTATTTGAAAACTCACTTACGTAAAGCAACCTGCATCTATTTTTAAAACAAACCAATTAATATCCACAAAAAATTTCAAAATCTAAATGAAAGCTCAAACATTTTTAAAGAAACATACTCGTAGTAGTACAAATCATAGAAGCAATCTTTTGCCAATTATCTTAGTTTTCAGCATTAAAAATCATTATGATGTCCAATTTCGCAAGAAATGAAATAATAACAAATTCTTCTGAAACGAGAACTAAAAAAATTACTACAAGAATAGTTAGTACTCATTTCGACACACTATCCATTAATCTTTATTTGGTCTACTTCTACAAAACGTATGGAAAAAGAAAAATAAAACCAATCCCTAAATTCTGGTATATCTTAAATAGCTACTGCGGGATATAATTCACACTAACACATAAAGTTTAAACGAGATGCAAATATAGTAATATAGAATATATACTTTAATATATTTTGAATAAATTATAATACATTTTGCTTTAATTAAATTACCAGCTCCATTTATTTTCGCTTGATATCCTATAAACTAATTTTTTCCCGTGATTTCGCTGGACGTGTTTAAATTTACTTTTAACAGAATTTGATTTCGAGAGGGATGCTTAAAGGTATCAGAATAATATATGTACACTTAAGTCAAACTAGTGATGTTTTTAGTATGTGACACATGAGTTTATGCAAAATATGTACGACGTGATACCGTAATCCCGTGGAAGCTTCACGAAGTTCTGTTAAAACTCTTTTCTATGTCTTATTCCGAATTTTAATGTACAGCTATATATTTACTGTTAAGATTCATCGACAGTAGAAAAATGAGTAGTTTGCATTCCACAGAAACAACAAATATCGACACATCTTCCCAAATTATCACTTTTATAATATAGGAAGGACCAGATCAAAATCCATTGAAATATTCTTAGAGCTCCTGACAATCTTTACCAATAACATTTTTTATCAGCAAATGATTAACAATGTTCTAATTTTTGCTTCTTCTATATTCCCAATATGGGTAGGTCAAGTATAAGTTTGTTTTATAAACCGGAATAAGACTAGTACACTTCTTTCAAATGTATTCATGTAGCAAGATTCTTAAACCCACTCTGTAATTATAAAACCTGGTAGATTGATAAAACGAATTTCTTAATACATTAAAATCATTTCAAAAGTACTTTTTGTAAAAAAAATTAAAAGTTTTTATTTATTTATTTTAACTACGATTTTTTATTAATTTTCTAATCACGATACCATTAATTAAAAAAAACTCTAGTTACTGTCGTACATTACGTTTACTTTTAGTTATATTTAATAATTATATTCTATAGACATTTGTTTACTCTGAGCAAGAATTAATTATATATTTTGTTTCTTGGTCACATTTATATTGAAATTCAATCGTTGATTTTCCTGAAATACATTTAATTGGGGACAATAGTTAGTAAATAACTGTTAAATTTGTTATGGCGACGTATCCGTGGAACGACGCCAAAGTCTAAATCCACCGGATTTTTCAAATGCCATACCTCAATCCCTAAAACCACATATATATTAAAGATAGCCAACAAACGTATATCTTTATGAATAATATTAAAAGTTATCAGTATTATAGTAATATAATCCACAAATTTACATGAGAAACCTTTTAAATTTTTCGATCAAAATATTTTACTTAATATATATTGCTACATTAAAGTAAAAGTTTTAAGAGGTATTTTTTTGGAATTCAGACTAAACAGCATAAACAACAAGAAAAACTTAAAACTATATTAAAATAAGAAGGTATTTCCATCAAGAGAAGCACTTAGTCATTACTTAGGCTTAGTCATTTTGGACATACAATTTCAAATTTAATATTCTCTCAACTAAGTTTCTGTAAGTTCCTTTGAAACTTGGAGTTCTGGTTGCTACTAAGTTACGTAACTAATTCACAATCACGAATTAAATTAATATAGTATCAAGGACAAAGAAAAACAGTCATAAAACATATAATAAAACTTTCTACTATGGTACACTTACACACACATACATACAATTTTTAATGTCTGTCTGTCTTTCGCAGTATTATTGAATCTAAGGCCTTTGACATCAGATGGTTTACTTCAAAGATCAAATGATGTAATACGGATTGTGCAAACTTCGTGTTACAAATTTCATATTTCATAAAAATAATATCTACAGTTAAAACTAAAAGACACTCTGATCCATTTAATGGATATTCTTATATGTAATATAAGCTATGAGAACCCAATACTATAAACCACTTTTAATATATTATTATTTCTTAATTTATATACGACAATGTATAGAATATAATATATATATATATATAAATCGAACAACAAACGTGTTATATGATTGCCCTAAACCAATTATCAATGCGTGTTTACATAAAGAGGTAATCTAAAATAAACTCTAGTAAGTCGGAAGATGAGGCATCGAGTCAAATCGGGCGTGAAAGCTGGACAAGGTCAGGCCAAGGCCTTTGAGGCATTGGCCCTGAATAACTAAGAAGGGAATTTGTATTGTTTCCGTCAATTATAATTACCATAAATATTTATAATTTCATTTTACAATTTCCGACTTACTGACACCTATAATTTGAAAGATGCGTCACGTTTGTTCTACCATTTTCGCAGCTGCATACCAAAAGTTATAAATATTAATATTTATAACTAGGCTACATAAGTTACCACTTATTATAACTATCTTCAAAATAATGAAATCTTCAACCGATTCCGACAAAGCGGAACACACCTGACAGATACACAGAAAGACAATCAAAAATTAAAAAAAGAAATAATATTGATGTATATACCGTGTGTACATCAATAAATTTTAATTAAAAATCTCTTACTTTACATTACGAACAGCCGTCCAAATTTCAGTAATTGGTTTATCATTATTAGCATCATTGCATGACTTAAATGACACAAAAATATAAGTTCCTTACTCTCTCCAATATAAACACAATTTAAAATAAACATTCCTTATTCTTCATCAGGTGTGTTAAAAACAAAACTTTACTCAGACTGTTTTTATCCTTCCACAACGTTCCATATGTTCATATTGTAAATATTTGTCGATATACGTTTTAAATTAAAGAACAGAGAATCGTTGATAAATTCTGTACTATCTTTTACTCTTAAATATTTAAATTTTTTAGTTAGCTAGGATTCTAACCTAGACGAAACTGTGTAAGCAATAATATTATATTGATTTTTAAGAAGCAATATTGAATTCAATTTAAATGAAGCACTTAGTTTATTGAACTTTCAGTTTATTTTTAAACATAAATAATATGAATTTAAATATAATGATATAGAGAGTATTAGAGTAATATATTTGTAGTAATTATAGTATTACTGATTTTAATTAAATAATGTAAATTAACATAGATACGTTTTTACTTAAATATTTTGATTAATTACTTAGAAAACTTTTTTTTAGTGTTACAATAATTTTATTATAATTTTTAAATAATTTATGTTGAATTGAAATGAATCCTAAGAATTAAAAATTGATTGAACAAATCTTCATAGAAGATGCTTTTCAATTACGTTGGTATTCTTGACTATTTTTGGTATAGACATACAAAGGTACATCAGAATACAAAGGCTTTTATTTTCATATGAAATTAAATTTATATGGCTTATAGCCACTTTCGGAATAAGTGGTCTGGCTGCATTTATATTATGATCATAAACGAATTTCTATTCCGACGATGGCAGGTGTTGGCAGACTGTCACATATAAATCTTAAGTCGGACCATTTTAAGAAACCATCAGAATTGATTTATGATCATATATATTGAGGCAAAAGCGGAAATTGTGTACTCTGGATATGAATTATAGAAATATGAAGAACACTGACTGTTTTGAGTCTTGGTGAAAACATCGAAATGATTTCAGTGAGATAAATTCATATCACGTGAATATCCTTTTAAACAAGCAATTGATTTTCTAATGGATTGGTAAAAAATTAAATTTATTCGATACGTGTAAGGATTTTTAAATAAAAATAAATCTTATAAAAAATAATTCCTTTGAATTTTGAGCTCCATTTTCAAGGATCCTAACCAAATGTGTTAAATATTTTGAAACTTGTACGCTTTACTTTACATTCTAAAAAAAAAACTTCTTGATAGAACTATTTATTATTTTACATGCTATGTGTGTATATATGTACATGTCCATATTAAAACACATATACATATACATTATCACATTTGCCTTAAGAAAATATCCATTTATAAAATGAATTTAATATTTTAACCCAAGTTGTAAAAACAAACACCATTTCGCACAAAATCATTGATAACAATAAACAATAATGAAATGAAAATGAAAATTTGGTTTTTGTTTGGTTTGGACATTTGTCAATTATATTTTTAACTTAATAAGTAATATTAATTTATTTCGTTTTCTCCACTTATATTCAATTCTTAATTGTGATTTTTCACTAGGTATATAATTAAACCGACGATTTAGTTGTGGTATAATTGATATTGTTCCAAATTGTGCAAAATTCTTGACGAAATAAACCTTAATAAATGTTATAAAAACTTTAAACAGGAATATAATATAAACTAAATCACTGACCATCTATATTACGATAAGATTAAAAAAAATTGAGACAAATAAATGATTTTATTTTTAGATTCATTAATACATATTTCTCGTCCGTTTCGTAAAAGTAAAAAATACAAATGAACCAAAATAATTTCGATCTTATTATGTGGGTTCTAAAATTATGTAATATTTGCACAGCTGTTGTTTGTTATTTAATCGATGACATTCATATTTGTTTAAAGATCACATAACTATGTAGCCGGTAACCAAACTTTTGTTTTCTTTTCCCAGACATTTCAATAATTAGTAACGGTTTAACCTTGAGACTGTTGTTTTTCAAATGTCTTGCCAATATCTTTATTCGAGTAAACTATGTTTATTTTTTTACATTCCACAAATTATGAATCTTCGTACTGAATTCATATTATTTTCTATATTTCAGTCTGTCAATAAGCATATATTATTTCAATATCAACGTTTAACAACCATGTTTGTCCAACAGAGTTCGTCATTGACAGATTTAATATCTGCGTTCGACAATAAAGCTCAAGCCCACACAGAACTTCAGAAAATAACAGCCTTCAGTGGCAGCTTCGATAAGAATCTTAAACCAACATTCTCCAAAGATGAATATGGAAAGTGAGTATTACATTTCATATTAATTAGATATATTTTTTAAATTAAAGAAAGTCCACTAGAATATTGTTTTGGAATTGTCTTTTCTATTTTAAAAGTGTGTGCGTGTGTGTGTGTATGTGTGTGTGTGTGTGTGTGTGTGTGTGTGTGTGTGTGTGTGTGTGTGTGTGTGTGTGTGTATTTTTATGGAATATTTTAACTTAGTAAATATTAAACCACTTTTAATTGCTACAGTCTTCTAATGAGACAGTAACGAATTTAAGTACTTATTGTTTTAACATAAAAATCTTTAAAGAAAAAGCAATTCCTCTATTAATTTGAAATACGCATCAAAAATTAATTACAGACACGGAATACATATTGTTCCTTGTTCGTTTACAACAAGGATTCTTTCTTTCTTTATTATACTTCAATTATCTTTGACGACATTTTCTTTTTACAATTCATACTTTCTCTTATATACATTCCCATGTTAATTCAATCATGACTTATACTGCCCTTGACTTTGATACTTGACTGCCAAAATTTTTCATCTTTCAACACCATTACAAAGACGTGTCTATGATTAGAATTCTAAATGAGACTTGATTTTTTTAAACTTATTTGAATCTTTGTGATATGATTCTATGAATAATTTTTTAGTAGAAAAACTATTTATTAAGTAAATTAATTTAAATCATTTCTTTTTTGATATAGGTAAATATGAATTAAAATCTTTTTATATCTCTCAATGATTCTTTTGTTTTTCTTTACTTTACAAATTTATATATCTTATAAACTCTATATAAATATCAAATAGCTGAGAACCATTTCCATAATAATATTAAATTACCTTTAGAATAATATTACTCAAAACTTAGCGTTTTCTATTGTAAGTTTAAAAATATAGGGAACTTTGTTTGTTATTTTATATATTAATGGTTTCATAATTAGTAAAACGTGACCTAGCAAACTTAAAAAGAAAATAATAATGATATAACAGAAGATCTTATAAAATAAAACACATAAATATTGTTTATTTTCTCAGAACTTAGTTCAAACGAATGAAACCTTACAGAGAATACGTCGCACAGAGAATCGATCATCTCAACAAAAAAATATTATTACAATACGCATTATGTGACACAAAATATCAATGTTTTATTATTTTAAAATTAAATATATCAAGTATAAATCTTACACCAGCAAAGAATTATTCCAAGACAAATCTAAAGAGCACTGAATTCAATGCTTTCAGCACAAACACATTCTTCACGTCAGTTGTTTAAAGACTATTATTTTTTGCAATCTATTCATTCAGGAATAACACATTTACCTACTTTTAAAATCATATAAATCTCTATCAAAGCTGAAGAGTTATGCCATTTGTAAACATCGAAAAACTTCAAAGAGTTTTCAAATGTGAATGAGAGGCAACAACTGTTTTGTTTTCCTAAAAAAAGTGTAGATACATTTGAGTTAAAAATATTCTAATTACATAGACTTTAGAATATATAATTTGATTAAATAATACGTGTAACAATCAACTTTTATTAGAATTTACCCAGAAGGTTTCGGAAAACGACTTAAGTAAACTTTTTACACAAATGAAAACAGAAATAATCGTAGGCGTTACACATGTCTTATTGTTGCGTAGTTACAACGACGTGATCTTAAGAACTAAAATGTTAATGACAGTGCTAGTAGTAATGTTATAATTTATTAGTTCATAAACTGTCTGAGCATCTAAAGAATCTGAATGATATTCAAATCAATATATCAAATAGTGCACAAAATATTATTTTTATTAGTTGTGTTTCACGTCGAAATGAAAATTAATTAACACAGCAACGTCGCGAGTATTTAGTTTATAATCGAAAATAAAAATCGCGTTGTACATCCGATTAATATTAGTTTCATTTAAATGAATACTCGCAAAAACCTTAGATCTCATCGTTGTTAAAATTTTGATGGACCATTTGAATCACAGTTGGGGCTCATTCAGGATAGTATTAATACTTAAAACTTACTCTATAATATCATTAGTAAAAATCCGCTCTAAAACCACCAACTGCTAGCCCCTTACATAATTCTATTGACAACTCAGAAATCCCACACATTCAAGTTTATAATACAACTCCAAATTTAGTCTCACGGATAATATATCGTATAAATCAATTTTGTAATTTTAAAAATTTCAAAAGTTCTCTGCTTAGTGAAACAACGATCTTTATCAATTTTTTTATTAACATTATTGTTAATTTAAACAATTGAGGCCTTCATCTTGTTTTCTAATTTTATATATATACTAATTTTATATATATACTAATTTTATTTATAATCGTCGATAACAACAAAACGTATCAATAAAATAACAAGTAAGAATTTTCGTTTTCCAATTTTTTTATTAATAGCACTTAATATTGAAAAGTTTACTTTCATATTTAAATTTGATCTAAAATTTCTCTAAAGATACACACCCACACAAATAAATATAACGTCTTTAAGCAGAGAAACTCTTCCATTTATAAGAAAATTGTAAAAAGGTGTTAACCTCCTAGGATTATTATTATTCATAGTAATAACCAATTATTTTTCTAGACCCATCCCAGGATCAAAGACTGAGCACAGAGGGGCTGAAGCACAGGCAAGAGTTTGTACGGAAATGAAAGAACTTTGCGAAATTATTAACGAATACGGAAAGAGCCCCTGCAAGAGCCTTTTACCACCGGAACTGAAAGATGCCACTAAAGTTATATCATTTGGTGAACTATTCACAGTAAGTATACTTAAATATTTAACTGAATTGAAAGAATCATATAGTAATGCTAACTATTTTTTATAAGGATGATGAGGATTGTAATAATTATTAAATTTCATCAACTTTTAACTGTATTTCAACAAAATCCACTATTGGAGTTCGTTTCATATGTACATGCATATTTATATTTTATATAAAATAACAAATCATTTTGTTTTCAAATTAACGTTATATATATTTATAGAAATTTAGAAATAAAACATAAAAAAACATGAAAAGACGGAAACAATTGTCCCAACTCTATTATATTTTGTATAATGTAAACGACTTCTGGAATTTCTAAAGAAAATACGAGAGGTGAAACGTTAGGTGGAATAAAATAGATTTCAGATTTATTTTACTTCATTTGACATTAATTAAGAAACGTAAAATCCATTAGGGTCGTTAGTCTGTACTATTTAAACAAAGGAAGAAATGAAGTTGCTCCAGTTACTACTTCTCTTTTATGACGTTTGAGTTTTATAAACTTCTTTTAGTAATAACTTTTGTATTATTATCGTCTTAATTTACGTCTTAATTGTATTGAAATAAGGTTGCTTGATGAAAGGAGGAAACGTGATAGATCTTAATGAGCAAAATTTTGTATACAAATTTAAATGAATACGAAATATTTGTTAGCTGAAGTTACCTGTTCGTGTTGATCAGTCATCAAAATATACTTGTTTTTCGTTGGATTTAAATTCTTTGTTACTGTATTAATTTTACTTGAATACAGTAACTCATTTTGAATCCGCATTTTTGATAACTATCACTATCAAAGTATTGCCTATTATATATATTATATGTATAAAATATGAGTAAATATACTTCATATATAAACTGTTTCTGGTTTTAAAACTATTGACATATAATAAATCGATCAATTTGTCAGCCATAATCTCCTAAAATATTCATTTAAAACGGTCGTCTAATAACACGATACATTGCCTATCTTTTCATCAATCCTAAAATAAGATTTCGGATGGACAATGATCTTGGCAGCTACTCAGATGACAGATGCTTAAAATATTTGTAATTTGTGACGGTCGGTAAGTCTCATTGTTATACATAGACATACTTACATATATATTTCTATGGCGATACGAAACTGTACTGTTACATTGAGAGATGTAAAATAATTTGTCACGCATTCCATTTGTTACTATAATGCTTATTTCAATATTATGTGAGCATTTTTGTATGAATGACAGTCTAACGCGTGACTGAAATTATTGTTTCTATATAAATAATATTGTTTCTATGTATAACTTTATGAATATTCCAACCATTAAATTAAAAACCTCTATATAAAAAGAAATATGTATATATCTATGTAATATATAATATAAGAATTTCGTATAAATTTATACCAAAATTCCTATTTAATATCCGACGACATATTAAGACAGATATTGGAGAAATATGTTGCAATAGACTATTCGGAGAAGTTGAGGCTAAATTCAACTACAAAAGCCACATAAATTATAACCCTCGCAAGCATTTCACTTGTAAACGATGTTGTGGCTAAAATATTCTATCACAATTTCATCTTTAACAAAATAATTTCCTATCATTATCTTAGGAGATGTAACTAGACATAAAAATTGTAATATTGTTTCCATTAAGACAAATCTGTTTACTGAATCAAATTCGTAACTCATACCAGACAGATGTGTATTCCAAAACGATGACGTCATACCACATTCCACCGTCGTCACGGCCACCGTGGCTTGGCCAGCGTCGGCCAAGTTTTAAAATTGGCAAACATACACTAATGATCGTTCACTCGTAATTAGCAACATAAACATTGTGCCGGACGCCGAATAAGGAAACGTGAGCACCGATCGAAAATACATCTGGAACATTTTACGGATATGCTCGCTTATGTTTACCAACGATCAAGTATGACGTAAATATTGATATATTTTTTTACGGACGGTCTAAATTTATACATAGAGCGATCCGTTTGGATGTCAGGTTAAAGAATTTTATGTGTTGTCTATGATAATATTTTGATCGTAATAATTTCACCGATTTATGCCAAGATATTGAATTATATTTGTATATACGAAACGTAAATATTTTTCGATTAATATTGATTGTTTTCGAAAACAGATTTTTCCATACAGTTTATTTGGATTTTACGAAAATATTTATGTTATTTATATTCTTTATTTTTAAATAATAATATGATAGTTATTTTCTTAAATTAAAATATTGACAATAATATTTCCAGCAAATGATTTATAACCTATTAATTTGATTAAAGTATATTTCGATTACTACGCCGCTAGAAATAATTCCCTAAAGCACCAATTGAATAAAGGGCAAAGTTTCCGCGTTTCCGAGTCATTAATCTTCATCTTATTTATAAAATCCTATTTCAGATATACACAGTGATCTCAGACAAACTCGTTGGCATATTGCTAAGGACGAGGAAGCATCAACTGACGTTTTTTGAAGGCGAAGTCTTATTCCAGGTATGAAACGAGAATAATATTAGATTATATAAAATAAACAAAATAGTATGTTATTCATCAAATATTGTATTTACTATTAATATATTTATTCATTATTCTGAGTTATGACATTGATTTCTAGATACTTGTAATGGATTATCTTTCATTTCTGAAGTTAACCTTAAGTCTATTTTACTTTTCGTTTACTTACATAGTGTGATGGAAAATAAATTTTCGTCATATATTGGATTGTTATGTTTTTGTCATAAAATAATCACACACACGCACTCATTTACAATCCTCATTTAAATTTTTTACTTGTTTATATTTAATTACCAACTATTACTTACTCTTGCGTACCTACATTATATCAGACTATTTACATTATCGTGTTCGTTATGATACGTTGTGTGATATTTATATATTAATACAATCAGACATATATATAGAGTGTGTCCATTACTCACCTTGAAAAAGGGTCTTTAATAGGAACCTTGTAGATAAACGTAGTTAGTACTGACTTCGTTAGTTTTCCTTTGATATGATATTTACAGAAAACCAACGAAATATATTGAATAAAAAGAAATAGAAATTAAAATAGTTATATGTACATTATAAATTATAGCAGATGTACTAAAATAATTTCGTAATTTTACGAGTATTTGGTTTTTGTTTCTTATCTTTTTTATTAATTTTTAATATTAAATCGATTTTTGAAGTAAAGTCTGTAAAATTATCCGTATTCTACGTCTTAAAACTAGATTGCTAAACCAGTCAAGAGTGAAATTTTCAAAAAAAAAAACAAAAAACTATTCAGGGTCACTTTGTTTATTAAAATTAAATCTAAACTAAGTAATTATGAATGAATGATTATTAGTATATAGCTAACCGTTTATGTTACATAAGATATTTACAGTAGGCCCATAAAACTTGGAATAGTAGTAGTGGTTAAAGGCCCGCCTCTCGTGCATGAGACCGCGGGTTTGAAACCTCGCAAATACGAATGTGATTTTTCAAAGTCATATGTTCTTTCTAAGAGTATTTAGACACCACTGACATACGGTGAAAGAAGGCATCGTGAGGAAACATACACTTACAATTTCCAATTATAAATTTGAAATCGCTAACCTCTCTTGAGCAAGGGTGATGATTAATACTCAAATCCTTTCCAAGTGAGAGGAGGTCTTTGCTCAGTAGTGGACCTTGTTTATGATGATAAGAGTTGACAAAAGATTTAATATTCATGATATATTGTACTTTGGCAGAAACGAGATGACGACGTTCCAGTGTTTCTAATGCAGCCCATTCAAGATATTCGAGCGTACTGCGACAACAAAGCACTACAGGCGAGGCGATCCGTCTCTCCGATGCCTAATTAATACACTTACTGATATTGGATAACCAATTGTAACGTGTTGTTCCAATTAACGTGAATTAAGGCCACGAATTGAAGCCATTGGTACCATAGCAATGTGATGATGTCTTTACATGTATATGATTTTTTTTTAGTATTAGTGGTTTGAACGGGTGGTTACAATATTCCTGTTCTTATTATATTTTTTTGTTTTAGCTGTAACAAATCGTAAGGAATTATGAATTTTAATAATGATCGGAAAAACTCAGACACTTAATCGTATCGTAATCGTAAATTATTTAACAAAGGCAATAAATATCTTATTATTTTTCTTTTAAATAAAATAAAAGATAGTTTTGTCAACAACAAATTGGGTGGCACATTATTTTTTATATTTGTTCCTGAAAAGCTCGCATTGAATTTTAAAATCTTTATTCTCTAGAATTATATAATTAACAACAATTAGCTCGTATTTTATGTTTCCAAATATTTATATAATGATTTATACTATATAATATAATATAAGAACATAAAAAGATATTGTTTCACAAATTACAATCGTTCATAAAGAACAGCAAATTGTTTTATGTAAACATTTAAACATTCAACCCTCTTATAATAAATACATTTATATGAATTTCAATTAATATATGAAAAAGCACATGAGTTAAAAATATTTTTCGTTTTGTAGTTATATTGTATGGGACCTTATATATTGTGTTGTGATTTTAAATTGGTGATGAGAAATTATTTGTGTAAACTATTCCTAAATCTAGTCATTGAATTATGTTATTTCATATTATGTATAGTAATACATGTTATAATATGAAGTTTGTAAATATATTGTATGAATTTTGTGTTTGGTGGAATCTAGTCATCTAAATACATACATTTTAACAATAATTTAAGTAAACGCACAGTAAAATAAGGCTGACTGAAATTGGAATGTTTTATAAAGAAACCTCTTCGAAAAAACTGCTTTTTAAAGAAATTAATAAATCTCAAAGTTTTATCCTTGAATTTTCATTTTATTTCGTAACGTAGTGGTATTTTTTGGAAATTTTGAATTCAGTATAGTTATTTTTGCGAAATATTGTTATTTGTACTTTTAATTGTTTGTGTTTTTTTCTCATAAACTTTAAATAAGAGAATTCAGTCATCATTATAGATATAATTGTGAAGATGTAAAATAAACTTTTATAAGAATATATGATTTGTTTTGTTTTACATATATTCCTTACAATGAATCATTCATTCAAAATAATTTTTTTTATTTTTTAATACTGCGTAAGTTAAAAAAAAATGTATCCAATAATTGTACATTATGTTCAAAGTTTTTTAGGTTTACTAATAATGAAAAATGGCTTGAGAGTTAAAACAAATATATATTTCGTATTTGTATGAACGGGTACATAAAACGGAAATAAATACCACATTCTTCAATAAACATAATATTTTATTTTTGTGATATTTTGTTGTATAAGATATTATATCTGAACCCATTTTTTATAAGGAATAAAACTTTGAATTAAGTATTGCCAGGTTTTCGAAAAAAAAACAATAATTTTTCCCAAAGCATGGTTTAATTTTTTTTATTAATATCAGATAAAATTGTATTGTTGAAAAAAATAATAAAACATATTGAAATCAATGAGATTTAAATAAAAGTTGTAAAACTCAAAACAAAAAAAATAAATTGACTCACATCATCAATTTAAAGTCAGCTTTACATACTGGCATGCTTTCTTTGTCTTTTAAATCTCTAAAATTTCCTATAATTTTCTTAAGTTCTGCTTCTTTCGGCATTGCTTTACTGAACAAGTAAGTCCTCATTTCATTGGATTCAAGGTCGTAATACAAGAAGTAATTATCATTCACCTTCATAAATATATTTCGCTTTTTATCCAACGGCTGACAGTGGCACGTGTCATTCAGAGCTCTAGAAAGTTCTTCTGGATTTTTGACAATATCAGCGAGCACGACTGTGCTAAAATCATGAACCTTCTGATGCAGAAATGCAAGATTCGGTGATTTTCTTTCACATTCACAAGTAAACGGATCGTCTAATAAATCCACGGCCTCAGAGAATACAACTTCTATGCAATTCTTCACAGTTTTATCTACTTTGGGCCATACATAAACGAGTTTGTAGGCGCCAAAGAAATCTGATCCTGCTTTGTTATCTTCAATACTACCCTTAGCAAGAGCAGATGGCAACAATATGCCTATTAGAATAATTGCGTACATATTAATATCTGTTAATAATTAATTTTTAATAATCAATAGACGTTTATGACCGTATCACTGTATACCTCGACCACAAATAAACCGAGTTCCTACAATCAAATAAAACACGTTTGTATAATCAATGTATAAAGGTTATCTTTGAAATGATAATTAGCTTTATATCATCTTATTCTAATAATAATTCCAGAAAATAGTATTTGTTGATAAAAATTGTAAATAAAGATTCTAGGAAATCATGATAAAATAATCCAGTAAGTTATACTGTCACTGAACTTTATTCATATCATCAAAATCGTCTTCGAAATACGATACAGATACTCCTGCTAAATATTAAATCTTTTTACAACTAATTCAAAGAAGATTTTATTTAATATACAAGTTTATTGGAATTCTATCTTTATATTAAATCCAATTATTAAATACAGCGTTCTTAAATTAACACAACTTTATAAGAAAGAAGGTTTCAAAGTTTTATGAATACTTGCTAAATAATTGTATAAGCAATTTGGAAAGGGAATATTTCTTGCAAACGATCTAAGGGGTAAAATCTTCAAGTCACCCTGCCGCCAACATTACAAACGAGATTTTAATTATTTATTGGTGTTAATATATGCAGCTATATGTATACAAATATATATAAGTATATATACAAATAGTTTAGTAGATAGAGATGAAGCAAAATTCTTTAGAACAGTAATTTGATTTCTCAAGAGATCTTCAGTAGAATTAAAACTTCTTTAAGCTTGTTACTTTAAAGTCTTTATATGTTTGTCCAGATTTTCTTTTTACAGAATATTGATGTTTAAATTAGTAAAAGTATTAATGGAATGGGATTTAGTAGATACAAAGTTTGTTGTTTCATGACATTTAATACAAACTTGAAACAAGGACACAAAGGTCGTAGGAACTGAATGCGTGGGAGAATAAATATAAAATTGTTTTAATTGGCGTATTTACACATAACATTTATTGTTCATTCCAATAATAATAGAAATATTTATATCCAAATACAAAAGACTGTTTGTTAAATTCTTCATAACATTACATATATTCGTAAGGAATATATTAGACCATTATAAAAGAAATTGTTTTCATCTTGTTACTTTGTAATATAATTGGACGAGAAAAGAGATAAAAAAAATTCTCACGAATGGCTCTGCTAATGTAGCAATAATGTTAATCGAAAAGTTAAAAGCTGAAAAAGAATTTTAAGAAATACTCGTAAGTGTATAGCTAAAGTTTTTTCTATGATATAGACTATTTTTAAGTAAAAATTATTAAATGACTATATCGATATAATTGTTTATTACTCTTAACGAATTATTAACATTAAACCCTTATTTGTTTACAATTACAATCATTTTTATTGATTTTGTTATAAAGGCAATTTCGAAGAACTTGAAGTAAATAAACAAATATATAATTACTCTTGAAGTTTGTTTTAGATTTTTATATAATATATATTATTACTAAAGACTTGACATCCGAAAGATCAGACTAAGAATACCACCCATTCAGTTAATTTAAATCTTGGTTATTTAATACTGCAAGCTACTGCTTGAAGGCGCGTATTCAATTGCCGCGCTTAATGCTCATGTATTGTTTGCTTCAGTATATATTCATCATCAGCCTATCAGAGACCACTGCTGAGCAAAGGTCTCTTCTAACATGGAAAAGATTTGGACTTATAATTGGAAATTATAAGTCCAGGTTTCCTCACGATGTTTTCCTTCACCGTCCGTCAGTGCTGTCTAAATAGTCTTAGAAAGTACATATGACTCGGAAAAATCACATTGGTCCTTACGAGGTTTTGAACCCGCGCCATCATGCATGAGAAGCAGACTTTTAATTACCGGGGCACCACGACTCAGACTTTAAATCTATAACTGATTTAAATATTGTAAATACTTTTTAATTTACTATATATACTTGCATGATCAATAATTTAATTGGTTGAAAATATTTTAGAATTTTTCATGTTATTCCTTTTAAGATGTCCTTTGATATTTTTTATAAATTTTATCAGTCTCTTAAATAATATAAAACATGAATCCCAATAAACTAAATACTTTTGAAACGTAATATTAGATATAAATTAAAAGTAATTTCATGTGTATTGTCTTGAAAGTTGTCTAAGCTCTTCAAACTACTTGTCTTCAAATTAAAGAAAATAAAAACTCGTTAAAGAATAAACAGATTATTTTTATATTGTTTTATTTACTTAGCTTATTTTACATATTAACTCTATTATTACAATATTTATCTTTAATTACATATAAAAAAATATTCATTTTAACTTACGCTTTTCAATGACTAACTCTATTACACATATAATAGATATAAACTAAATTTATATTAAAATTAAAAACTATCATTTCCTTGTATAATAAATACATTATTCCTGTTTGAATTCATTTGGCTTTCTATCCATATAGGTAAAGGTTCTGAGTTCGCGCTCTGAATTAACGATGTTTCTTGAAACCCCACGGTGACACGACGATTCTTCGCATATGCCTGTCAAAATATACGTGATTTGTATTAAGGAATGAAGCATCCAAAATGTACCAAATTGATTTTTGTTATTATGATCACATATATATAATTTGAGTCATTGGATAAATATATATATTTTTTCTTCGTAATTAGTAATAATAATATTATTATTCGTAATATTTATTTTGTGATGGTACTAGTTTATTATACTTACACTTTAAAACTTCAACCGGTGCTATCAATGCTTTTATTCATATTCATTGTTTGAATATTTGAACACAAAGAAAGGTACAGAAATATTATATACGCTATCACTACATGAATATTATGTCAAATAGAAATAGTTTATCCATATGTTAACACATACATATGCCTGATGATTGTAATAACTTAGTTACATAGCAATTTCAAACATCTTAAAATTCGGTCATTTTTCGTCCCAAAAATATATAAGATGTATTCACAATGCAGAATAATATAAAAGCACTCACATTTCTCCGATGATTGATATCTTTCGTGTCCACATTGCATCCGCATGTATCTGGAACCGTCAGTATAGCTGCGAAGATTAATTATGCTATTTATGCCATTCCAACCCAAAATCGATTTCAACTTAACTTACTGGGAATATTTATATTTTTAAGAGTAAATATTAAACTCATTTAACGTCTCACTTTCACTCATAATTAGGTACTTTACTGCATTAGCAGTGCATGAAGTGTCATAGTACATAATTAGGCTTGACTATGTATCCTTCCAACAGAAATTTACTTACACTTTTACAATTAGTCAAGAGTGAAATTTACTTATTTTTTAATATAAAACTAACTTTATATTCACTCTGTAATAATAATCATATTTCTTGTTATTTAACATAACTACTCCCTGTGATAATCTTCTATATATATAAAAATGGATTGCTGTTTCTTAGTCTCGCTAAAACTCGAGAACAGCTGAACGGATTTATCTTATCTTAGTCTTGAAATGTTCGTGGAGGTTCAGGGAAGGTATAAAAGCTGAAAAAAATTTATTCATTTGCGGGAAAATCCTAAAAACCGCCCTTTTCTATTTCCCATACAAACGTTTTCTTTGACATTAGATTTGACAACTAACTGATATGTTAATCATTCTGTTCGATTGAAACAGGAGAAACCTGGTTATCAATGGCCTCTAAAACGGAATAGAGTTCGCCCGGTCAGCTACTTATACATATATTACTAATGACGAAACTAACGCGGACGAAGTCGCGGGCAAAAACTTGTAATTAATATTTGATAAATTTGAATAAATGCATACTTTCTAAATAGTATTCACTTATAAGTTTTACCTCGTTTCGATTAAAGAGTTTATAAATTACTTAAATTTATTAAATTAAACACGTTTCAATTATCTTCATTCATTTAAATATGTCATTTATACATACCGTTAGTTTTAGAAGGAGCGTCAGAGCAAAACACCTTTCTCAGTTTGCCATTGATAATATTGATATCTAATGTATAAGAGCCGTACACCAGTGGATCCATGCAAGAATTGGAGACGGCCATGATAAAGAACAGATCCTGGACTTTGCTTGAAACATGCATGGCTGATTCACGGTCGAACATATACCTGATGGAAATATCATTTGATGTATTAACAACGACTTGAGATGTTACTTGCAGCGATAAAAACTATCTGTAGTTTAATAACCTACTCTGAGAAAATTTTACTTAATAAGCAATTTTTATAGCCATTGCTTGCTTATTCACTCTTCCCCGAACAGAACTTTGATAGCTTAGGTGTTACAGGATTACAAAAACAGCATTCTCTTCCTTCAGATAAACCGAGTTAGGTATTTTGAGGGTCACAGCTGACTGACTGAGTTATTTCTAGAAGACTCGGAAATTCATAGCCAGTCCGTTTAATGGAGATCCATATTGTTAAAAATGGATCATTGTAAGACATCTAGTAATTGTTTTACTCCACTACCAGACGCAGATTCTATCCACGCAGGGTAGGTTTGGAGATGATTATATAAAGAACTCACGAGTCTGTGAATCTTATGCAAAATTTTCCTCAAAGGAAAAAATAAACGAATTCGTTACATTACAACATTAAACTTTTACAGTTATAATAGTTTACACAAAAGTTACAACTCAGTCGCACGTTTTGATAACAGCTTACTTAAGTTCAAGAGAAACATTTTCTTTTTCGAAGTGAACTCGTGGAGTACTTAGGAAGTGTATTTGTGGATCGCTGTCGAACTAACTTTGAGTATATTATTATTTTTGAATACATTTTCCTCACAAACATACATCAATACACTTGACACGGGTCTTGTTCATCTTAACCTTACTTGAAATCTCACCTTTCACTGAAATAAATCGAATACCTTTGGAATCTTTTACACTTCGGACTAAGAGTTCATTGAGCCTACTATATTTATATCTTTAAAGTTTTTTATGAAAAGGCATTTTTGAATAGCAATCAAGATCTCACGATAAAATATAATATCAATATAATACTTTAAAATAACACCAATTTTTTTTTAACATCGTATTTGAGCAATGCTTCAATTGCCTAACATATAACAATAACATTTACATATGTATGTTTTGATTATAATGTTGAAAATTATATTATGGTAAATAAAAAGAGATTGAATGCATAGAAATAAACAATTTCAGTTGGTTTTTGAAACAGTTTTTAAGTCAAACTAGAATCGTCAGAACAGTTTGATACTCGACCCGTAAAGAAAACTAAAGTAACGTTTTCATTTTATTGTTAAACACAATTTTACTTTCCTTTTAATTTCTGGTCAAACAAAAAAACTAAATTTAATTTTATTAAGTTACAAAATTTACTCTACAGTCTTTTTTGTCAAGTGTCTTCGAGATACTTATAAATAAACCATTATATTGCTTCCTTTTCAATTTCTTACTGCGGTAAGTCAACAAAGAAAAACTATTATTCAGTTATAAGTTTTAAAAGCTGAAGTAGGTTCTTTAAATAGCAATGTAAAATTAAACTTGTATGCAACTTTGCTCATACAATTACATAGGTTCTTTTATAAAATGAAATGTATTGCGAAGTAAATATATATATAAGGGTTGTAAATAATAACTAAATGTCATATTATAATTTACAGAAAACTTATTTCATGAATCACTCGTCAAAATTACCTTACATACCTTTAAAAACAAGACCATACCCTTACACTGCTAGATAAATTTTTACCAAACGTAAACGAGAAGGTATCGCAAGTTTAAAAACAAAATTAAAATTGTCCCATCTGTATTAGAGTTACGATATCACAGACAGACAGACAGACACACACATACACAGAATCTACATCAAACTTTCACTCCTTCCTCTGTGGGTGGGTTAATAAAGATTTTAATGAGCACCCTTCACCATGACGTGTGACATATCTTTAGGTGATATTTAAAAACTTCATTTGAAAGTGATCATCAAGAAACACGTGTCAAAAGTCAATTAATTTTCTAATATTTTTGTTATATATCCAACAACTCTTATCAACAATCTCCAAACAAGGAAATATCCTCGAAAACCATTACTATAGCAAATTACTCGTACTTTCCTCTTCAAAGTAACAACAAAGGAAATACTCAGAATGTAATTATGGTGAATTGTTTTGGACAGAGAAGTTTTCTTTGCCCTCTCTTTATTCTAAGTTATATTTACCATAGCGTCATAGTAGCATACGGCAACCAGCAACATGCAAACACGCTGACTATGGTGACAGTCATACGAAGTGTCCTTCGTCTAGCTCGAGCAAGAGGCCTCTGGTCGGAACGACGTAATTGAATACGACCCGTTTCCGTAGTTGGAGGTTTACCTGGCAATACAAAACATATAGAAAAACAAATAAACTAGAATACCCTTATAAATATTCTACATTGGTATTATAAACTTTTATATAATGTATAAAAACCTTTTTTATTACTATGTTATTGAATGAAAAACAATATATTCTGGTGGTACATGGTTGTAGCTTACACGTTTATGTATCGGTAACAATATAAAACACAAAACCAAAGTAAATTTCTGCCGTAGTAATTACCGTTATAATGAAAACAATAAATTTAAAACAAACACCACAAAATAGCGGCTGTAGGTGAAAATTTCAAACAGAAACAAGGTATAATTAAATTTATATTAGGGATTTCATTACACAGGTTATCCTGGTGTATTTCACACATCGAATGTTTAATATTTTGGTTTTATCTTTATTATTATTTACTTAGAATTTTAGAAAACTCTCTACTTCATGCAAAATCAGTAGCTTAGTATTTATCTAGGCTGACTAACAAAAAACAAAACTATTTACGGGTTTCTACAAACAATTTGGTCCGGTAATAATCAACACAAAAGGTTAGTGACTTATTGGATGATTGAAAGGTCAATTGCCTTATATTGGTAAAATATTAAAGTTTGTTTTATCGAAATAAATTTGCAATAAATAGAACTTAATTTTAGCGAACTTGATCTGAATGGTCTCAACATTATTATAGTACTACATTGGTTATGTTAAAAGTTATGATTACTTTTTTAATATTTATTTAGGATTCATAAAATAATATTCTTACGATATCTGAGTTATTCGCAACAACTTTTATTTTCTAATTGCTGTGGGGATTAAGTAATAAAAACGTCGGTAGTATTGCAAGAGAATTAAAACCGAAAAACTGGTTTAATTATATAAATATTTGCAATATTATACAAATATAAAAAAAATAGTTAAAAAGCAAAATCTAAGCGTTCGAAACAAAAAAAAATAAAGACATAACTTCACCTTAAATATCTTTATAGAAATTTTCTAGAAAACCATTGTACTTACTGGTGACTTCTTTTGAATTTGTATGAATCTCGAAGAAGATGCATATATAACTAACGGTGATGATAGCGAGGGGTGCAAAATACATAACGACGAGACAGGTCAAGTTGTATGCCAACTCCTGGTGTCGGTTGGAGAAGGCCTCGAAAGAAACGCATTGCTGAAACTCTGGCACAGTTGGATGTTCCATTACACGGAAAACTAAACTCTGGAACAAATCATTTCTAGTATATAAAATATAATTAATTAAAAAATTAAGAAATACTAACAGAGTAAGTCTTGATTGTCACGATTACAAACAATTATTATTTTGAATAATTAATAAAAGAGATTTAAATTCAAATTAATATATTTTTATTATTATATTTTTACCAAAAAATATCATAATATGAATCTATCAGAGAAAAAGATCTTGATGGATACTTACTTAACATGATTTAAAAAAATCTTGAAATTTAAATCAAGTGATAGTATTATCATAAAAGAATCGAGCTTAAATTTTCCAAGAAAGAAAAATTACTGTATTAAAAATATATAAACACGGCTTGTATCAAAAAACCTTGATCTTCTTTTAATATTTCTAGTTATAAAACGTTGCAACGTATTTCTATAACACTTTGTAAAATTATTTTAAAATAATAAAAAAAACATAACATTTATCTTTCGAGTAAGGTCATATAAAATAAACTTCTTAGTAAATGAGCTTGTTATAAGAGAAAAGGCATTGAAAAGTATAACTTAAAATATACTGTGGAGTTTCGTTCGAAGAAATAATGCTTGTTGAAATAATTTATGTTTTTCTATTTATGGTAAAGATCTTATATGCTTGTTTTAAAAACTTCAAAATAATGATTTTTTTCAATCAATTGTTTAACTGATAGTGATATAACTACAAATTTATCAGTTAAAAATTGCTTTAAAAACCAAACATAAAATTGTAGAAAGTAAAGTTTTGCGGTAGATATTTTCTTATTTAAAATTGACTTCATTGAAAATCGAAACCTTAAAGTGTTAGCAACCAAATTCAACAAGATATCAATTAAAAAATACCGTAAAAATGCACATCTGAACTTTCAAGTTAATAATACTTCTGAGAAAAATAAATAAAGTCATCGTATTGAGATTAGATATATTTAAGTGTTGTTAAACTTTTCATTCTACATGAAGTATGAAAAGTTTTGCAACACTTATAAGTTCATCTAATCTTTTTATTGTTAAACGAATTTCATTCAATTTTGTTTTCAAAAAATAGTTTTGTTTTTGTTACAAAAGATGAAAAACTCTTACAATATTAACAAAGGCCATTGAAAGAATTATGTCATAACAAACGTTTTTCTTTTTCTTTTCACCGTCCAAAGAACATGATGTTGGCACGATTATTTAATCGACTAAAGAATTTATATGTTCTTAATATAGTACATTTCTATTAATTCTATTAATCAAATAAACTAATTTATAAAAAATAAACTGCGATGAACAAAATAATAACAATAACAAGGCCTTTTTAGGAGAGAAATTATCTTAAAATTACTCAAATTACCTGTGGGAAGCTACATATAAAAGCCCCGAGCCATGCAACCCAAAGCATAGTTTTACTTCGGTTTCTCGCCACTGCCAAACGAAGTGGATAAAGCACTGCGAAATATCTGAAAAAAATATGGATTTAAAAAGGTTCCTAATTTGTAATGAAATTAATAATAATTGCTAACGGTAACTTAAACGAGTGGTAATTTCTGCAAGCTTAAAAATTTTATATCCAAAATAACACACACTTTTTATAAGCCTAAAAAAATTTAACTTAATAATTTTTGACAATATTTTTAATTGTAACAAATACAATATGGAAAAATATATACCTATCCAAAGATATGCACACCAGCACGTTTGAAGAAAGATAAAGACCAAAAGCTCGCAACACTAAAAAAAATTTGCAAGCCAAATTACCAGCGAGCCAGGCATTCGTAGTTCGCCATCCAATCTGAAATTAAATTTAAATCACAATATTTTATGCTTCTATACATTAAACATAAACAGTCGATACTTTTATAAATTTTATATTTACTTATTACTTAAAAGAAATTAAACAACATCTTGTATAATATAATTACTCTTTGTTCTATATTGCGAAACAACAGATTTTTTATCAACTGTCGCCTGGAGACCGTTACTTTGCCTTATTTAAACGACAAAACAAAGCCATTTATTAAAATACCACAAAAGACAGCTACTGTGAAATGGAAGCACTAATTCATTGGTAACATCATATAAACGAGAATAAAATTGTGGTTTTAAACAAACGACACAGACATATCTTTGAGACCATTATATTGTAACTTATTGTAGATTATTAGAACATATTATTATTTTGAATTTTACTATGAAATTCTCTAATTAACTCTGATTTTCTATTGTGTGAAAGTTGTGAAACCCACGCTGAAAATTAATACATTGTCCGACCTCCCAAATATCTAAATTATACATAACTTTTGACATTTATAAACATATATTGTATGAAGTTCAAATAATATGAGCAAAGAAAAAAAATCCTCCCATTTGTGGATGCCATATTTTCTATATAAAATTCTTATAAAAATGTATTGTGATTATTATTATTACAAAGAAATCCGTATACCCATAACAATTAAAATTGACAAGGTATTTTATATTAAAATGTCTGGTCCCTGAAACAAATATGTCCACAAATTTAATGCGGACTTATGATATATTCAGGCCGTTATGATGTATACAATTTATACATAGAACAAAATACATATATGTTCTGTATTATTTACAATGATAATTATTTATACAGAAACACGCTAAAACCTTTTTTGTTTTATAGTCGACCACATCTTCACATTTTTTAATGTGATATAATGTTAATCGCCATTCAAAACCTTCATGTGTAATGGTTTTATAATTATTACTTTCGTTATTAAATAGTTGTATTAATATTTATTTTGAAATTAATTGCAAAAGAATTCTATGAAAATTTAATTTAATCTGGTATAACGGTAAACAAATCGATTCATATATAAAACGTATGACCAAAATGTATTCCTGAATCTTCTAAGTTAAGTCTACTTTTTTCACATTCCATTTCATCTACTCAAAGTAAGTGAAATCCATTTGGATTTTCTATAAACGGGTCCTGAGATTTTATAAAAGACATACATAGGTAGGTTTTCAAGTTCAACTTTATGAATCAGTCGTCTAATGTCATAATTATTTAAATGTCACTTTACCTTTTTAATGAGAATTGTATAGATTCATATAAATTGGTTTTAACGATAAAAACAATTACGTTATAGCCAAGAAACGGAAGAAAAGAGAAAATTATTCCTTTTGAGAGCTTCTTTATCTTCGTCATTTCTGATTGAATAACAAGATTAAAGTTATGAGATAATCCATAAAATTATATTATTATTTTTTTCTACTTAATAAAATTATATTAAATTATTTGTACTTAATAAAAAGATAAAATTATATATTCTTATTATAAGTCCATCAATTCCTAATAATATGAAACCTTATACATTCTTTAATTTACAAAATTAATTTGATATCAAATTATTTTTTTCCTTACAAGAAATTTATTACCATAAGTTTCGGATATTTAAGAAAAAATCTTACGAACATAAATAATTTAAATAATGTATAAGCTAATTCAAAATTATGGCGAGCCTATTCAATAAATATAAATATAGAATATTTATGAAGTTAGATAAATTCACACAAAATTTTAATTAAAGGTTAATTCTGTTCTTGAATATGAGTAGTTTGCTTCAAAGCGCTAGATATTCTGTAAATCCAAAATTCAATACAACGCACGTCTGTAGCAGACTATATCGACTCATAAGATGCTGTGTATTATCTCCCAAAGATACCTCTCATGAGAATAGTCTCTCCTATCGATAATCTTGGGTATTTCGTCTATTCCTACTAGTTCTAAGATTTTCATATTTACATTACAATATAATTACATATTTAGCATTGAATATAGAGAAATTCTGTCATTAAGTCTTCCTAATATGATGGTTAATGCAAAGTCAACTAAAAGAGGGTTTAAAAAAAGTACATGAGATTTAATTACATATATACATACAAATTGACTAATTGTTAAAACATAATATCAAAATTTAAAAAGAGTAAAAATCTTATACAAAATCACAGTATCAAAGTTAAACTTATATTAAATTATATTGTTGATTAGTTGTATATCAATTTATTATTATAAAATGAACCAAAAATCCTTTCCATCCAGTTTGAAATTCTAGGACAGCATTTATTCATAATGGAGCAAGATAGGATTTAAATACAGTTTTATGAATATCAAACCTCAGTTAGATCGGCTTATGTATACTATGAAAACTCATAGTAATAACATAAATGTTTTATATGTGAGAAAAGATTAATCCCTTTTCCAACTTACATCACAATAATTAATTTATCACAATAATAAATTAATTTCAGATTACCTTAATGCCGCTTCAGTAAATTAATTGAAATATATCAATTAGGAATTTAATTTGATTATTTTTAAGGTGGCACTTCACCTGGCGTTGAGTATTCGCGTAGCGTATTCGCCGCACTTGTCCAAATATTTTTAGTCCAAATAACGCAAATACGACATCCACACTTGGCATTCCAACAACAGGCCTTTACGCGTTTTCGCTTATTAGTGTATATGTCTTATTTGTGCAAATATATCAAATGAAGACGAATAAATCCTCCACACATGGTCTTATTTGGCCGACCACAACAAATAAACGCCGAGTGAAGTGCCACCACTTATGTCATATTGTAAACGAAATTAATCTCCATTAATTAAATTCATAGATTTCTGTATTGTACTAATTCTTTATTAAAATTATCGTTACTTTAAAATAATAATCATGATATTTGTAAACTTTTTATAAGGCAAAAACATGTACTATGTACAAGATAAGGTTGAATAGAATTAACGAAATCGATATTGTTTACGAATACACACTTCTATTTAATATTTTCGCCAAAATAGATATCAAAAATCGAGCTAATTTATTGGATGTCACAGACAATCAAATGAGTGGATCAATCGTGAAAAAGTGAGAGTGACAGGTTATCTACGGATTTAGTTATTTTATTATTATAATAGTACGTTTTATGCCTTTCCACGCTTCGCTGTAGTTTCATTGATAAAAAAATAAACAACAAAAGATAGCATACGTTTTATTACAATTCAATCTTTCAACACTTGTGTGTTTTTTCCCATTGTTTGTATAGATATAGAGACTATCTGGTTTTCCAAACCGAGAACACGCAATACACAAATGTCCATGTGAAAGCAATCCATAACTAAATCTAAACCAGACATTTCTAAAGATTGACCTTGACCTTCGTTAACCCTTTGTAGCCTCGTGTGACATTTCTGTAACAAACCTCAATAATCCCGCTAAAATATATACTAAATATTTTATGTTCATTCAAATCAGTGTTACTGTATTGTAACATACCAAACCAAACATTTTAGTATCAAGTACAAATCATAGATGGCGTAACTTGTTGATTATAGGGAGTTTGAATTACGTCCGTCGATGGAAGTGACAGGTTGAAACTCGTTGAGAGTTTGAATTTTATAAAAATATACTAAAAGTGTATAAAATTGTATTGTTTTCGTCGAAACCTATAGGTAAGTGAATGATTTTGTTCATATATCGTTATCAAAGCATATTTTTGCTTTTTTATGTAAAAAACGTATCAATATATGTTTGTAACATTTCTGTTACATTGAAATATTGATTGAAACTAAAGTATTTGGATATTGATATAAAATTATGCCATTATTTTAGAATGGGGTCACACACACTGAGGGATCGTGAAATAGATGACCTATTGCACCAATATGATAGTGAAGACGGATTAGAAGACGATGATGACAGCGTCATTGATCCAGATTTTCAGCCGTTATTAGAAGATTTAGAAATATTTTCTGATTGTGAAGAAGATACTGCAGTTGATATAGATTCAATTATCGAAGAATCTGAACGCAGTGAGCCTGTTGCTGGCGCCTCGTCTTCAGATCCTGGACAGCAAGAGAGCCATTCAAATAAAGCTACCACTAATAAAAAAGGAAAAAAGCGACAATTACAATGGAAAAAGAAAAACCTAGTTCTAAACGACCAGCAGTTGCGATTTACAGGAAATACTACTTTACCACCTAATTTACTTGAGCTTGATACACCAATTCAATTCTTTTTATATTTTTTTCCCAAAGAATTGATAACTTTTATTACAGCACAAACAAATCTCTACATAATACAAAAAAATCCTAACCAATCCTTTCAAATTACCGATACCGATATCCAGCAATTTATTGGAGCAACTTATCTGATGTCATTGATACAATTGCCAAGAGTAACCAGTCATTGGAACACAACTATTGGTACACCCATGATTCAAGAAATAATGCCGAAGCAAAAATTTGAAAAAATTAGACAGTATATCCATTTCAATGACAATTCTAATTTACCCCCACGTAATTCAGCTAATGGTGACAGGCTTTTCAAAATTAGACCTATCGTAGAAACTTTGAATAGGACTTTTAGTACAGTTCCATTGGAGACATACCTTTGTGTGGACGAACAGATTTTCTCCACTAAGGCAAGATGTAATTTGAAAAGATACAATCCCAAAAAACCACACAAATGGGGTTATAAGATTTTTGTACTAAGTGGGGTCTCAGGTTTTGCCTATAAAATTGAACCTGAAACAGGAGCTGAAAATGTTGTGCTTCCTGATGAACCAGATTTAGGAGCATCTTCAAACGTAGTCGTCAGAATGGCGCGGGGCATACCAAGGCATCAGAATTATCAACTTTATTTTGATAATTACTTTACTTCCTTGGCATTACTGGAGTACTTAGCTAAAGAGGGTATATTGAGTCTTGGGACAGTACGACGCAATCGTATTCCAGATTGTAAACTACCCGCTGACAAG